ATGTCTGGAAAAGGAACCTGTCAGTTATTAAAACACAACGTAATATTTTAGAATGTATTCTTGCAAGTTATTTAGTTTGTTTAAAGTAAAAGAAGGATTATTTTGTGTCAAAATTCTATCTGAAATTTGGGAGTTGTTTCTTTCTCTCAGTAGGGAAATAATTCAAGACAATAACAAGTATTTTAGGGACCAGTACTGGTGCTTGAGTGCTGTCATTTAGCTTTTTCTCTCAAAGGCTGGTGCTCTACTTGAGCCATAGCTCCACTGCTGGCTTTTTTGGTGGTTAAGTGGAGACAAGAGTCTTGGGGACTTTCCTGCCTAGACTGGCTTCTAACCAGATCCTCAGATCTCAACCTCTTAAGTAGCTAAGATTACAGGTGTGAGCTACCAGCACCTGGCCAGGACAGTAATAATATATATTTTTACTAAATGACATAAGCGTGTTTTTTAGTTCAAAGTCAGATTCCTCATGATATCTCTTTTAAAGGCTTCTATCTTCTCTCTTGGTCTGTCTTAGTCTGCCCCCCCCCCACATACACAAACATTGCCTCTAGGATTCTTTAATTCACATGATATAACAAAAGCAAACAGTATCTTCAGTCTTCATGGTATAGCGGAAAGCACGGAACCCTATATACCTAAATTCTCATTCTTTCTGTGAAAATTCAACTGTATGATCTTGGATGCTCCATTTAATATCTGGAGCCTCAATGGCTCTAGTCATACAACGAGAATGTCCCAACAAACACCCAATAAGGCTCTAAAGTTGCCAACCTACACATTTTGAATTTGCATAGTCACAGAAGTAGCGGGAGCATTTTAGTGGAAATTATTCACACAGAGAACAGAGCTTACCACTTGGTAATTGTCTTCTGAGGGCAAGCTTAATGGCTATAGTAACTGAGACATGGACAGCCTATCTTGCCTGAAGTCTTCTCAAAGCTAGGAGATGGCACTGGACCATGGACGGACAGGGAGGAAGGGGTCACAGTCCACCCTGTACCTGAGGGTGGCAGTCAAGTCTGTTCCTATGTGTTTCTCATTTGGCTGCTGCTTTCCAAGACTTCTTCCTCACATTTCCCTGCCATCCAGGGCCTGTCTGTCACATGACTCTCTTCTGGTTTTCAAAGCCAGGTTTGTAAGCCCAACTTCTCTTTCCCAGTCTGCTTTTCCATCACTTACTGGTTGTGTGGTACTAAACTTTCCCAAGATAAAGGATTAGGAGAGATCATATCTGCTCAGTTTAAGTTGGTTAGTGGTGATTTCCCTAACCATCAATTTTCTGTGCCCCAAGATCTTTATGGCTGTTCAGAAAATGCATGGCTACTAGGTATAAGTCTCTTTCTCTTAAAATACATCCATCACTACCATTAGAGTATAAATTCCCAGAGTTAAAAAAAACTATTTTGTTTGTTTGTATGTTTTTGTTGTTGTTTTTTGTTATGCTGGAGCCACACACACACACACAAAGACCAGCTCCACTTCAGCTTTTGGTGGTTAATTTGAAATAAGTCTCACAGATTTTCTTGCTTGGGCTGGCTTTGAACTAGGATCCTAAAATCTCAGCCTCCTGACTACTGAGAATTAATTATATGTGTGAGCCACCAGAGCCTGGCTTTGATCACTGACTTTATTCTCAATATGTAGAGTCTTGATCATAAGAAATATCTATATTTGCTGAATTAATGATTTAAACAATATAATAAATCCAGACCTGGGTTCTAATGGTCTGCCCTTTAGACCTCCACAAATTCTAATCTCAAAGATTAATTCAGCCTATGTGTATGCAGCTTTAGGTACTTTATTTCTTGCTAACTGTGAGCTGTGGTAAAGAGATGCTTTGGCCTCATTTCATAAATTAGGAAACCAAGACTAAAAGTGGTAAAAGTCTTGCTATGCAGCATATATCCACAAGTTCTAGAGCTGAAAAATAGATCCCACTTTTCTGACTTCAAGTCCTCTCTTCCTTTCCCTATTTCTTAATTGTATGCCATCATAGCTACTTCTCTGATTACTTCTTCAGCTTTGATGACTCTCTATGTATGTATTCAAGTTTCCATAGACAACATTAATTGGCTTCAACCGAGGTCTGCTTAAAACTATGATGCATTTTTCAAAACCAGGTCATTTCTTTAGGCAGCAAGGACTATCACTGTCATATGCTTTCAACACTGATAATATCACTGTGGGGAGCAGTGGGGGGTAGGGTGTTGTTTAACATGGCCAGTTAACTTGCCCTTAGCAAGAGAAGAGTAACAATCATTGGTATTCCCAATATGGTGCTCAGGAGACATTCTTGGAATGGAGAACACAATGCTGAAAGCCAACAAGATTGGGAATTTATAAACCCATGGAGCTGTATAAGTAATACACAACGCTAGAGGCTTCTATAAAGAAATCCAGACTTGTCTGTCATCCTGGACAAAATACTTCCTGATCTGTGAGATATATAATTGAGAAAGAAATGTAGAAGTACATGAAAATCACATCCCAGAATCACTCAAAGCTGACTGTTTCCAGGCTATTCAAACTAGGAACATGCATTCTAGATTCCACAACTTAGGTCTCGTCTATAGGGTCTTCAGAACTCCTTCATGACAGTTTGGGATTTAGCATGCATACAGATGAATGTTCTAGAACAGAAGCATAAGGATCAATTGGAAAGATACTCTCCGTTCTAGAAGCAACTTAATCTTCAGCTTGCTTTTACCAACATGAAGCACAAAGAGACTGAACAGATTGTGCATTCTCACAGCAAGACCAGGAGTTGGTGGGCCTTTCTCCCAGATCAGTTCCTTCTGAAATCCTAAGATTCAAAGGTCACAAGTGAACAGGAATCTGTGGCTCCCACAAAATAAGAAAACCAAAACACACACTCTAGACTGCATCTTTCAGAACCTCGGTGAATTGAACATAGCTTGAAAGCCATGGCTCTGTGGGTGACTTTGAAGACTGGTAACCCAGGAAGAGAAAAAGATGCTTAAAGGGAGGGTTGGAAGGGCTATCCAGCTTACAAGACACCTTTACTCCCATCTTTGACATAAAGTGCCAAATTTCTGGTCTAAAGGCTGATCTCACTGCTTGCCATGCTAATCCCTAAGTATGTACCAAAGGAGGTTAACACATCCCCGGGTACACACACAGACCACAGTTTCCTCCCTCTGCTCAGGGCCTGTGCTTATAGAGGTCTGAGCACTAGGGAGATAGAGATTGCCTCACTTCTCCTTAGGGTGTCCACACCAAGACCTAGAGCCATCTTGTTGCTCTTCCAGAGATCAGAGGATCAGGGAGGGATGCTGGGGGTAGAGGAAAGTGAGTGTAGGAGTCCTGACTAGCAGAAGTACCTTCTAGAATGGAACATCTCTATACTGAACCCAGGGATGCAGGCAATTGCATGCACACACTAACAGGAAGTAGAGAAACAAGAGTAAAGTTGGCCTGGTGACCTCCACTCCCTGGCTCCATGGCCCTCTTCTCACCCACTCATTTTAAGTTTTGAGCTACATGTGAATTTTAAAGGCTCCTTTTAACTCATGCCAGTTCTCATCTCCAAAAGTCAAGCTCCTTCAGTTGGTGCTTTTTACCTCAGTCAGCATATTTCAAACTTTCAGAGAGAGAAAGAGAGAGAAACTTAGAAAATAAAACCACTACGACTCCACCCAGATGATAAAAATCTCTTGAAGCTCTAAGCTCAACATCTTAGACTTCTTTGCTCAGCCCTAGGTGTGTGTGGGGGGGGGGCGGTTGATGTCTCTGGGATCTCAAAGATGACCATGTCTGCCAGTCCCACCTCACACCAGCCTAATAGTTTTACCAGACAACCTTTTGCTTGGTCCTGCAAGGACCTAGAAGCTAACTTCTGGTCCCATTCATTCGCTAGGTCTTCAAAGGGCAGTCCCGGGGCGTGGGGGGGGATCCCCCACCTCTCTGCTCTCTTCCCCACTTCCCCCTTTACGAGGGGGCAGTCAGTAGCCCCTACTGGAGGGTGGCTCAGAGCAAGGCTCTCCACCAGTCCTCTGGTCTGCACTTTGCAATCTAGACCCAGGCTTGGCAAAGTGGATGGGGATGGTAGGAGCTGGGGGGGGGGGTAACGCTCTGAACTCTCCAGGCAGTGTAGAGGGAGGGGAGTAGTTTGAAGATCTAGGGGGCTCTCACTTAGAAAACAGTTACTAGGGGACCCTTCTGTGGAAGCTGGCGCTTGTAGGGCTGAGCTGCCGAACAGTGGAGCAGACAGACTGTCGGGGTCAGGGACCCCCCGCAGGAGAAGCGGCTGAGGCTAAGCTGACCCGTTTGTCCCGGGGAGCCCGAGGCTGCTAAGGCTGCTGAGCGCTGAGCACCCAGCCACAGAAAGAGGAGGGGGAAGAGAAACCAGCCTGGCTGGCTTGTAAACAGGGGTTTTCATCGACAAGAGCTTGCCCCAGCGGACCCTCAGACGGACGCACTCCCAGGCACCCCGATCGGCCGGCAGTTAATCCTTTTATTCGGCCCCTTCCACCCCCCCCAACAGGCAGGGACCCGAGCCGGTGGCAGCTGGGCGCCTGCCCCCGTTACTTTCGGCCTCTGGAGAGAGGAAACTGGCCACCAAACTAGTGTCCAGCTCCGGTACCGGGGCGCTCTGGTTGCCGAGATGGAACAGCAGCAGACCCGGGGGTCTCTCGCCCTTGACTCTGATCGGCGCTCAGGGTCTCCAGATTCCACCGCGCCCCTCCCGCAGCCCTCGGGGCGGCTGGGTGGGAGGGGGCCGGACTCCACTTTGGCAAAGAGAGTAAAGGAGGGGGGGGTGGGGATGGAGATCGTCCTGGATGGAGAAAGCCTGTCCGGCCTCTCCGCAACGTAGGACTCACCAACGCAGCGCCGGGGAAGACCGCGCAAAGCCGGGGCGCCAAGAGAAGGGAGAGCGGCCACGTCTTCCGGGACCCCGACACCCCGCGCGCCCAGCTGCCCGCCCCGCTGCCCTAATCGGCTCCACCGCACCCCCACCCCTGACACCCCCAGCTTACCTTAATAGTCCCGTCCATTTGGCCAAGTCTGCAGCCGAGCCCCCCAATATTCCACACATTGACCCGGTTACAGCCTGACCTCGCAGCCCCTTCAGATTGGCCCGGCGCGGCCTCCCTGGCGCCCTGGGCCGGCTCTGTGTGCCCCGTGCTAGCGCCCAGCCCTTGCTCCCCTAGGCACGTTTGTTGTTGTAGCGGAGAGACAGTTAACCGGATGAAACTTTTTTTTCAGCTAATTTTGGGAAGTGACTTCACTTTGCGATCGGGGAGGAAGTCCTATCTCTCTCTCTCTCTCTCTCTCTCTCTCTCTCTCTCTCGGCTCGCGCTCTCCTCTCTCTTCTCTCCCTTGCCTTTCCTCCCCCACACCCCCTCTTCCTCCCCTCGGCTGGTCCTGCTTTTCGCATCACACACTATATAAATATACGCAGAGATCGCCCGATGCATTCATGCACCGCGCGCACAGGATACTTGCTTCTGGGAGATAAGAGCTGGCCGGGGAACAATGACGGGGTTCACGCCCAGCGTCCGCGCCCTGATTCCCCGCGGTCGGCAACGCTGCCCACTTCACCTCCACACCCCCCCCACCGCACCCCACCCCCTCCGTCCCCAAATCCAAAGCCAAACGCCGTTAGATTCTTTCCTTTTCCCGGGGCCCTTGGCCGAAGGTGGCCGTCCTGACTCATTCACTTTCCGTTTCTTCCCACAGATACGTTCATTAATGCTTTTTCCAGCCGGAGTCCAAACTTTTTTGGGGATGGGAAGACGACGGCGGGGGAGTTTGCTAGAACTTGGGATAACCTGGCGGGAGCGCCTATTGCTGGGGGATGATCTGGACGCACAGCGAAGCAAACCAACCATTAATAGTAATAATAATAATAATAATAATAAATCGATGGAGTTTCCCCACTCTGCCCCACCACTGCCGAGACTTTGCGGACTCCCGGAGCGCCTCTCTCACTCACTCATCGTTGAGGCTTTTGGGGAGTTTGCAGGCTGACCTGCGTTGTCAGGGGCGGGACCCCAGACATTACTAAGAAAAAGGGGGTTCCCTCCCGTAGGCGCGACTCACATCTGGGCATCGTGTAGCCACCGAAGGCCACAGGACTAACAGCACCTAGTTAAATCCCTCGCTGACCCGGACCCGACTGCCCAAGCCTAGGTTCTCAAGCCATAGCTGCCCTTGCAAGTCCTCGCCCCCCTCGCCCCCCCTCAGGAACGGACCCCGCGGCCGACCTGCCCTCCACGCCGCCGACCAGCTTGTCCCCCCACGGCGCGCAGCACGCCAGAGCGCAGCACAGCAGATCCAGACATCTCCCCGGTGAGACTTGGGGTCCCCCTCTAGGGAATGGCATCCCCACCCCGCCGGGTGACCGGCCTCCCCTCGGTCCACTTCGCAGGCCCGGCTCACCCACAGATCTCCCGGGCCCTCTACTGGGCTGTCGCGCCCAGGGGTGGGGGGGCTGTCTGGCCTGACTTCCCTTCTCCCCAGTCTCAAAACCAGTTACCTTGTCCACGATCTCCAGACTTGGGACTTTCTCACTTTTATTTAAGAGTCCTCCCAGGGGGGAAGAAGAAGAAGAAAAATCCAGAGATGATCCAAGTAAATTGAAAAGAAAAAAAAATTCAAAAGGGTGTCCACGGCGGCGGGGCGGGGGTAAAAAAAAAAAAAGGTGAGTTATTAATGCTTTATTTCTTCAGGAGCAATCGAGCCCCAGAGCTTGCTCGCCTCCCTCCGTCCCTCCCCCTCCCCCTCTCGAAATTAGTCTCATCAATTCAGCTCCAATTTTGAGTTCGAATACAGACACGGGTCTGAACGTGACCAGACCTGCAGTGTCGGGTGCAGCCAGCCAGCAATTGAGACTCCGCTGTGCGTGTGGGGGGTGGGGTGGGGTGGTTGGTGAAGTGGGGGCCAGGGCGGACTTCCCCCCTCCCTCCTGTCTGCTTCTCAATCCAGGGGTCTGCTCCGAGGCTCCCTAGGGACCGCCACATCTGGTTACCGCTAGCGGGGTCAGTTCTCCCCCCCCCTTTGCCGGGGGCCACCAGTTCTGGAGTTCAATTAAAAGAAATCAGGCTTAACCCTTTCCTCCCCACCAGCCCGTCTCCCGCCCTCTTGCTCTTCCCTTCAGCATTTCCACATGCTTTCCAGAGAGGAAAGAGGTTAAAGGGAAGGGAAGAATGAATTACATCCTTTCAAACCCCAAATTGTTTCCTTTTCAGCCCAGACTCTACCGACCTTCAAACGACAACAAGGCTTTGGGGAGGGTGTGGGGAGACTGAGTCTCACCAGGACCTCACCAGAAAACTAAGCACCCCATCCCCTCTTTCAGCAAGAAATCACTCAAGTCCATGATGGAGAGCCCCCTTTCCAGGGCTTACTATACACACAGGCTGTGAATAGCCACTTCACAAGAGGCAACTCCCCCACACTCCTCCCCCCCCCCACAATGATGACAATTCAACCAACAGGTTTTCTCTCTCCAACTCCTCTTGGCTTCCAAATACCGGTTGTCTTCACTGTTCTGATCAAGGGTCACCCCAACATTCCTAGGACTCCCGGTTTCATTAAGCCTAATTCCCTAGCCTTTTGGGAGTGTGCAATAGAAAACTAGATGAAAATGAAGACTGGCCTGCCTGTCTGAGTTGTAAGACTAACACTTTCTGTTTTTGCCTGTAAAACCAAAAGTATGGTGATTTCGTAATTTTGGAGATGGGGGAGGGGTGTGCTCTGGCATAAGCAACACCCTGTCCACAGACGTAGCCATTGTGGACCCCTGATTGTTACTAGTGCTACTGTTTCTTACTACTTAACTCGTTCTTCTGAGGAGAGCTAAGGCCCATTCATAAGGATCTCCACTCAGAAAGGCCTCCTCCCACCCCCAATTCTGAGAGGTGGAGGGATATCAGATTCTTTCCAGTCCTGTGTTGATCCGCTAGTGGACAAGTTTGCCTAACTTAAATAACTCTGGGCTAGATACTTCATTCTATTGCTGCTGGTTCTTTTTTAAAATCCCAAAGGGGTGGGGAGAGAGCCCTAACCAAACACAACAGTAAACAAGTCTGCCCCGTTTAATGTGGTTACCACCAGACATCTGGAAAGATGGTTTGATCCTGGCAGCTCACATTGTTTTCACGAGCAGCCAAAGAGAATATTTTGAATGTTTGCATTGAGACAAATTGATAGAGAGCCTGCGGTGAGGCCCCATACAAATGAAAACTGTCTTGTGTTGGGCGTGTGGCTTTCCTTACCCTCTCCGGCTCCCTCCCTCTTTCTCTCCACCCTCTCCTCTTTCCCCTCCCTCTCTTCTCCCTGCCCTCCCCCTTTCCCTGGTCTACCAGCCTAGCTTGGGAATGGTTGCCCCTGCCCACACACTTGTGCACACCCTCTTTCCTGGCTCCACAAGCACTGCCTGGATTCACTCTTTTCCAGACTGGGCAGGGCTGGGCCCATGATCTGGTATGAATACCAGCAGTGCCCATTTCATCAACTCCTTCCTGGCTTTCAAAGTTAGGGGTCACTTACAGCCAAAGCAGCCAGGCCCAAAACAAAAATAAATAAATAAACAAATAAAAACTTTTTTTTAAAAAGCTACCAACTGGAGACAAAAATTGTACAAAGACTTCAACAACAAACCAGCCCCTCGCGCATTCCTAAGTCTTATACAAGGCATGTACACGGGGGGGGGATATTTAGGCAATATTTGGAGCCTTTTCATTGAAACGTGGAGCAGAGGGCTTGGCTGGTGCACATTGTCCTTGACAACGTTTTCAAAGATGCGGAAGTCCTGCTTCCCTCGGGAGGGTAACGACGACGGGGCGAAAACGTGTCTTGGCTCGCTCAATGTCAGCCCTTTTGACCGGGTCAAGACTTTCCAGACGCGGGCTTCCCGGGCTCCTTAGTTTCTCAGCCTGGGTCAGGGGTGGGAGGACGCCACAAACGGAGCCGAGTCCCCGGTGTGCCTCTAGACTCTGGGACATCGGGGTCACTTGAAACTCCTAAAGATGCCCGGCTAGGCTGGGCGTCTGAGGCGGGGCCTCCCCTCCGAGTCCTCTCCCTTCCCGGCAGCTGGTCCAGTGTGGCCACACTGGGTACCCGGGGCGGGCAAAGGGGGAGGGGAAAGAGATCCAACAGAAGGGCGGGCTGGAGGAGGTGGGGGCGGGGAGGAGGGGGTGGGCGGGCCAGCGAGTGCCAAAACTCCAGACTGCACAAACTGCAGCTTCCAATGTCTGGCCTCTCGCTCGAGGCCATAATTAATTTGAGATTTATTTTTATTGGAGAACTCGAGTCTCGTCAGACCTTAGCCAAACAAGGCAGCTCAAGCCGCCCCTGGATGCGCTTGAATGCCGGGGAATATTTCTGCAGGAAGGCTCTGCAGGCGCGCCTGCTTTGAATTTGTTTCTCCAACTTCATCCACTCACCGACTGAAGGAAGATTTAGAGCCTCGGCTCGCCCTGCCCGCTCCCCACACTCTTTCTTTGCCTTTGCGCCCAGCCGATTCAGAACGCAACGTGGGAGGCCACAGAAACTGAAGGGGTGCGCGCCGGCGCGCGCGCAGGCAGGAGGCAGGGGCGGGGATGGGGGTGTCCACGCACCCCGATCTCTGAGCGATCCTCAGGAGATCTGTTGGGGAATTGGGCCCCAGACCACACGGAGTCCAGAAGGAAAAAAGAAAGAAAAACCCAAGGGAGTGGGAGGCTGACCGGAGAGTTTAAGCTGGAGACCCCCACCTCCTCACCCTGCATGCAGTAGCAGCTCCCAGAAGGAGGCAGTAGAAATGGGGGAAATGGGCTACGCTTCTCCAATCTCTTGTAAACCCCACTCCTCCCAGTAGCCTCAAACAATATATTCCAAGTAGTGATCAGTATCCTTGAAATGCAACTTGGAGTCCTGCGGGTCAGGCCGGCTAGGTGCCACTTTTGGACACTTGCTGTGGCTATGAATACTCTGAACCCAGCAATTTTCCTTGGTCTGGGGTTGGGGGGGGCAGGTATCAAGGAGGGTGTCTCTCCCAGAATGCTGCCTGAGCCAGAGCCAAAGGCTGGTAGAACAAATAAGGAGGCTAGGAGAAGCCAAAGAGTGAACGAGGAGAGACCTTCAGTCTGTTTGAGGCAGCAAGGAACTCTCAGGAATGTGTGACCAGTGCTTTGCATTCCGTGGTAGTGCTCCAGCACTGGGCAGGATTATTTTTACTGGGGTCACCGAGTCCTTCTTCAGTCTCCATCCCCAAGTGGATTGTTGCCTTTGACTCCAGTTTACCAGGGGGCAGCCTGGGTTTGAATCTAGCTTTGCACTTAGCAGCTCGGAGGCCTTGGATATGTTCCTTAACCTCTGTGTATCTCCTTATCCTGATCTGTATGAACTTTTATGATAGGACCTACCTCTAAAGACTGTTGAAAAGGAGTGTTCACAACTGCCTGGCAGTCTCTACAACTTTGTCATTATCTGTACCTTGATTTCCCCCATACAAGCGCAGTCACACTAACCTCTCAGTGCTTCAGCTTTCCATCTGCAAACTAAGCTACTGAATAGGTTCGTTATTGCTAGAAATGACTTAGCTCCATGCTCAAAACAGGGCGTGGCAGATGTAGGGGGTAAGACCTGTGTGACAGGTAACTGTCAATATCACCACAATGGGACATCTCAGGCTGTGATTGTCAGGGTTTTACAGAGGCACTGTCCCCCTACTTTCTTTCCTGTCCCATCTGAACGGAAGTGCTCTCTTGTGGTGTTCTACCCCTCCCCCCACACTCTGGGGGCCCCTAGAGCCCACACCAGGATTCAGACTGCCATCATCATCACCATCATCATCATAGCACAGAAGACAGCCTTGGCCCCTCAGGACCCAGCTCTGCTTCAGACTCCTGGGGGGTCCAGGAGCCTGGGCTCCTTGTTTGTCAACATCCCTGAGCCGGGTGCCAGTGACTGGGATTGGCAGTTGGGGTCTGTTTGTGCCCCTCTGGCAAATGATGGACAGAGTGAGCCAGCTAAACAGACTCAAGATTGTCCTGCTATGCAGACTTTCCCCGTCATCAATGCACCCCTTTGTGCAACAATACAAACTTTGTGGCGGCTGAAAAATCCATTTTTTTTCCCTCCTTGAAAAAGAGCTCCAGCAGGGAGCGGCCTCTTCTGGCAGCCATGGTCTTCCCGAGCCCCTCACTCTGGCCTCCGGTCCCAGTTTTCTTTCTCCCTAACCCTTAACTCCAGTCAGACCTCTCAGCTTCCAGGGACCATCCTCCCTGAGATTGTGGGTGCTGGTGTGTGTGGCACACAAAGGCGCCCTGAGAGTGGCTGCAGCTCCAGCCCCCCTGCGACAACTACAATGAAAGGCAGAACTTCAGTGAGGGCTCCCCAAGCTCTGTCCCCCCCTCCCCGCCCCCGAGCTGGAAGTGTGGGGGTAAGAGTGCAGAACTTGCCTGGGCCCAGCTTTCCGACGACCTATGGGAAAACCTAAGACTAAGGACAAGTGCGCGTTGAAGTACAGACTCCGAAGTCTGGCAGTTCGTGGAGAACCACCTCCCTCCCTCCTCCCCCGGATCACTGACACATTCGTTTCGTCTTTCATTCACGAATTCACCCCCTTCATCCTGG